TGGAGATTTTTACAAGGAAGAAGAGGAGTTTCTCACAATGAGTTCCAACAACAAATCCCTCCTTGGTGATCACAAATTAACTTCAAACAACAACTACTCCATCCCTTCGGGATTTGTTAGCCTTAGGTTGTTGGCCAATCCATTCTTCCAAGAATACTAAATTCTCCAAACTCCTCCAAACTTCTTTTGATATAGTACCCTTTTTTTTGTGTTTCTTGATTTCTTTCATATCAGTTTTAAGACTGAGATTTTTACACTTTGATTCATCCATGGAAGAACATTCAAGAATCCCAATGGGCAATGGGGAAAACAGTCAGAATTCTCAGAGGATCAGTTTACACTTTTCTGCAAAAGTATCAATCTTTCACCACAACTGCGGCAATCCTTGCCTTACCTTATGCAGCATTAGTTCTGTTGTCAGAATCTGCAATTCCATCATCTGCTCTGCTTCAGGGATTCACAACCGGTTGCAATCGCTCTTCGATGCTGCCGGCTTTCCAAGGTCATCGGATTTCTTCGCGATTCTTAACATCAAGCTATCTCAGACTATTGCAACATCTTATCTAATTTTCCCTTTCATCTTCACTTTCTTCCTTTTCACCAAGGCATTTGTAATCCATGCTTTGTCTAACCATAAGGCCGTTTCGCAAACCCCTTTCGCCTTTTTCAATTCCCTTTTCAGTCCCCTTTTGTACACTCAACTTTGCAACATGATACTAATGATCTCGGCAAATGCAACCTGCTTCTGCATCCTGTTCTTCGCGTTAACTGCGCCGATGGATTAGGCCTTGTGAACCCGAAAACACTGCTGGTGTTTTTCAGCCACAGGAGCTATTCTGTACTCCATAGTTCTTGCCAATTCCCTCAACATTAATAGTTCTTGCCAATCTTGCATTAATAGTCTCAGGGATGGAAAATTCCAGCGGATACATTGCGATTTTCAAGGCTTGTGTCCTGATTCGAGGAAGAACAGCAACAGCATTATCCTTGGCTCTGCCTGTTAACCTTGTACTGGCTGCAATTGAGGCCTTATTTCAATACCGAATTGTATGAGCACTTCATCTGTCAGAATCTCCCTTTTCTTCCATTGTTTTTGAAGGGATATTCATAGCCTACTTGTACGCAATTCTCCTCGTCTTAGATACCGTTATCGGTTGCATCTTCTACAGAAGCTGCAAATCTACAACTTCTTCTATAGAGTTTGAAGCAGAACAGATATATCATATCGAGTTTGAAGGTAAAGATGCTAATGTCATTTCCAAATAGAAAACATTGGAAACACTTCCTTGGTTAGTTTATATACATCCCAGATGGAAGAACATGGGTATTTTTCAGCTGCAAATTCATTCAAGCGTATGAATGGAGGCAATTATGCCCTTTTTTTTCCTCAACTCTTTTTAGTGTTCATAGATATAGATTACAGAGAGGTAAAAGAAAATACCGATTTCATACACCTCACTCAAAGATTCTACATGTTTCTCATACCGCAGAAGATTTTTATTTCACAGAAAAAGGCACATATTATCATCCTTTCTGGACTTCATATTCACTCTGTTTTGCAAATTCTTAAATATTGGTTTATGTTTCTTCAGTTAGCCAGATAGTTTTCTCTCTTCTTCATTTGGGTTAGGATAACTTTTTGGGTTTTCCCTTTAGTTTCAATCTCTTAAACTTTCTTTAAACCTGCTGGCCTAATGGGAAATGGAAGTTGTAACACCCAAGCAAAGAATGCAACAGCAAATTCATTAGTTTATCTTTCTATTTCTTTTGAGACAAAACGTATATGTGGAAGTCCCAGTATCAATTTGTAATGTAATGTCCAAATGCGACAAAAGATGAAATCAAAGAGAAGAGGCAGCTTTGAAACCGTGTTTATCTATGTCAAGGTTGTTACTTCATTTGGAATTAGAGTTCAGTTTTTCACTAGGAGAAAAATTAAGCTAAATTAGCAACTAGCCCTTTTTATCTTAGCATCTCATTGAGTATGTACTTGAATAATGGTTATGCAGCCATTCATCGAACTCGGATTCCCATCAGAGTGAAAAGTCAACGGCACAACCCCGAAGTATGATTTTAACCTTTTTTTTACTCCCTTGAGTACTTACTATAAGACGTTTTGATTTTTCATAGGTTTCACTTAGTAAGCATTTTTTTATCTATAAAAAAAATCTTAAAATATTTCATAACATTCAAGAAAACACAACAAAAATGAAAATATATTTTTAAGAGTTTTTGGTCAATAAAAATGCGTACCAGTTGAAACTTAGGAAAAATCAAAATGCATTATATTAAGGATCGGAGGAAGTGTTTTTGTTTATTGTTTATATATACATATATATATATATATATATATAAATGTAGCGAGATACTTTCTGTGTCCCGAAATTATTATCTACTTTGAATTTTCATTTTACTAAAATTGACATATTAAATTGAACAATAATTTTGTGACGGAAGAAATAAGTATTAAATATGTAAATAGTATTGTTAGAGATTTCGAGTCCCTTATACATAATAGTGTTGTGCCGGGGAGAATGTTTCGGAGTTTGTAGTTTATTGATTGGTAATTTGCTCTAATGACAGATGAACTAACATAATCCACAATGTGTCATTTAACCAATATTACCAAAACACGAATCAAGGGGTTCTGAGATGCTAAAGGCAACGTCAAAAGCTCATTCGAATTTCAGTGCTGTTGGCACTTCAATGAACTATCAATTTTTTAATTAGGTTATTGCCTTTTGTTCGTTTTGGTACCAGAAATGCATCTCCTTCGTACAAAGTAGAGTTGACGTCTTAGCTTTTTACGCCATCAGAATTTGGTCAATAAGTCATTGCTTTCGGATGTTTTCTTTAAGTTTCTCATCTGCATTAAGAAATGGCCTGATTGTTATAGAAAATATTGACCAAAAATTGGGGAGAAGACCATTACATTAGAACGTTGACTTTTTTGGGGCTGGAGTGGGAGAAAAATAATGGATGCAATTTTTTTTTTTTTTTTTGGAAATGGTATAATGGATGGATAATAATAAATTGTCAAATGGAGCTCTCTTTTTCTGCATTAAAAAAGGAGGACCATTCTGAAAATATCATTCCTTTTCGTCTAAAAAAATAATCTTGTTTGTTGACCAAAAAAAAATGAACTCTTTCGCAGAAAGAATGTGAAAAACAATCAAAGCCTATTGAGATTTTTACAACCTCAATTTTATTTAACTTAAAAAATTTGCTCACACACAATACACAAAACGAAAATCTGAAATCTAAATATTAAAATTTAAATATTTATTTATTTAATTTTCTAGCTTTTTAATCTCCCTGTTCTATCTATACGCAATCTGACTTATATGGAGATCAAATCTAAATATAAAAATTTAAAACCCAGCCTACTTTTATTGTACCAAAAAAAAACTGAAATCTATTAAAAGTTTAGAATCAGAGTAATGAAATTTTTGTCTTTTTTATAAGAGTTATAATAAACATGTTTGATATTATATATTACTACGTAATATTTATATTTTTTTTTTGCATAAAAAATGATTTCTCCAATTTTTAACCTTCATCAAAATCAATAGTTTACTAAAATAGTAATTTTTTTTCTACACTTCAAGAATTGATTTGTTAAATTGTTAACATTTGACAACCTATAACTTGATGGTAGAAAACTTTGAAAACTATTCTCTTACTCTATCTGTCCACAAAAGGAAAAAAAAGAAAAAACCAATGGAAATACTATTTGATTTCAAGTAACAGCGCTTCTGCAATTATATCTATAAAACACACCAAACAATTTCCTTCGACGGATTCACTGAATCTAATAATTGTGTGTAATCTATATCTTCAATCACCAAAGTACATAAATGTTTTTTTTTTTTTTGAATGAAGCACACCAGATTACATAACTCGATCATCCCTAAGAAAAAACAATAACAGCATAAGTCATACTTTTGAAAATTCATTTCTTTCACTTCTTCGTCTGCTCATCCTATGTTTTTTATGTACAACAAAACCTAATCTATGATATCACTGGGAAGTTACCATTAAGAGCGAGTTACCTAGAGATGGCAACACTCTAGAATACCATTGTTACAAGGAAAACGGTGATGATTTTGGTTGTCATATACTCTCCTTTTGGGCATCTTTTAATCAGGGCATTTTTTAAAAATCCAAAATATTATTGTACATTTTGGTGGGCTGGAAAGGTTAGATATATGGCTGTTTTCGATCGCAGAATAAGCCATTACGCCCCAGGTCATATTGTCTTTTGGCTAGTGATATCGGATGGTTTTTATTTGAAGACTAGATTTGACGGAAATCCTTTTCACAAAATAAATGAATGGAACGATCAATGATGAATATATAATTGGTTACATGTCATAATAATGATGATCAAAGTTTAGACTATGAAATATTTTGTTCTTGTTTTTTTTTTTTTGGTTTTTTTGCTAATTCTTGTAATCTAATTTCTTAAGTCTCCACCGATGCTACCACTACATTTTTCTGTCTCTATCATGTCTCTTACATTGCGTCGATTCCCAAGAATCAAGTTACTACCGCATCAACTGCAATATATAGCTTCTTTGATGGAATTATGCATCGTTGAGTGGAAAGTATTAAGGATTCCTCCAGAAAGGACAATGCATGAGATTAGCACTGCAAATTAAATAAACAACAGGTACATTCACAAGCAACTCCTGGTGAATAGGTTTCCATCAATGTAGTGTTGATATAGATGTGACAGTTAGAGCATCGAAAGCTTTGTAGTATTTGGGAAGACTGAAAATTTTCCTAGTTTATCTTGTTGTGAGGAAGGTTTAGCTGTAGCAACTACCTTATGATCACACACTTTTGGGAAGATATTGCAGCAGAATCAGTGTTTCAAGCGTCAGTCGTCACCGGAGAACCCTGAAAATTAATAGATGAACCTGATAAGGTTATAGCGATTCTGCAAAAACAACATACTCATTGAAACGTAGGTCAGGAAATCAAAAGTCTTATAGGATTTTTGCGGGTTAATGTGCCCCCTTTTGTAATAATTCATCTGTCCCAAAATGGTTATCCTATTTTGATTTTTATTTTTTATATATTTTGAATTAAAAATAAAAATTTAAACTGGATAATCAATTCTGAACGAAAAGAGTATATAAATTAACATTCTCAAATGATTATAAACTCTTTCTCATCCAAAACTTTATAGTCTTATTTGCTAAATTAACTGTACACAATCATGCAGAACTAATATCTCGGAGATAGATATGCTACTACTTGTAATATGACTGTATAGAACAAGTACATGATACGATATCCTATGTATTAATTGTTAACCACAAGTTAAAAAACTCGTGTTTTTAAAGCAGCCATGAGCATCAATAGTAATAACAATTTATATTTGGAGAAATTTTCTTCTTGATGAAAAGAGACTTACTCGAATCAATTGAAGATTCCTTTAGTAGGTGTATTCGCTTTGAAGTACCTCATAGTTCCTGAACCAAAAGAAAAAGAAAGATATGTCAAGCTTTTAAGTTCCAAATTAACTTCCGAAATTTTGAACCTGCCTTCCATAATAAGAATTAATTATTTAAGATAATTTCACTGATACAATCAATCAGTATTAAACAACCCGTGTAAAAAGATTTCAACTTTAAACATTAAAACTACTGCTTTTCATTGACATTCCATCAAGAAAAAGCACATCAAAACATGAAAGGGAAGAAAAAAAGAAAAGAAAGAAAACAGAAAAAGAAAACAGCTAGAACAAGAATAAATAGCAGGGAACATATTCGCCTACCCTATTAAGAGTATCAAATCGGCACCGGAAAAAAATTGCATTAATTACTCTATGATCTATGATAAACAATAATGATGTAAAAACAGAAAAAGAAAAAAAATCACCTTGAATTAACAACAATATCAGTACTGCCACCTACAATTGTTATTTATTTATTTATTTATTTTTTGGAAAATGGAAACTAATTGAGGAAGACAAGAAGAAAAGAAAAAAGAAGGTTAGTTTAGCAAATGATAATTTCATTGGGAAAGAAACACCGTTCTTCAGTTGAATAAAAAAAAATTGTATATATCTATTGCAAAGTAAAAGAATGAAATATCAGAGAAATATTTAGTGTGGGGCTTACTCTTTTGTTAGTTGTTCCTGGTCGAGATATATCCGTAGATCTTCATTTCCATAATCCATCTGCGTTTCATGAATTTCCTTTACCGAATCAAAGACACGTGGACAATCACTGACCTCAATCACCTGAAGGGTTGAACTTTGGGCTATACAAGAAGGGATTTCCTTTAAGCGAGGGCAGTAATACAGTATCAATGTCTTAATAGATGGGAAGTCGTCATCTGAAGCCGTTGTCCATCTCTCCAAACTGGTCATCCTGCCTAATTCCAACACACTGAGTTTGGGGAATGTGCCTTCTTCTTCAATGTCCCAATTTTCCCCCTTGTATTCATTCTCATACAACCGGAGAGCTTCAAGATTTGGTAGCCTTCCAATAGCTGAAACTTCACTCCATGGAAGGTAAGTTTTAGACAGAGATAGATCCTTTAGATTCTGGGGAAATCGAAATTGAAAAAGGTTTTTTAACGAACAACAGTGTGCGTAGACGAGGATAGAGGGACCTCGATTCTGAGAATATCTCTGGTCCTCTGAAATCAATAGTTAACCTGTACGGCTGGCTAGCCTCAACACAACCATTAAGCTCGTGACCATGTAGCCGATGCATAAAGTGTTCTTCTTTGCTTCTTGCTATGGCGAAATCGCGTAGCAAGTCATGAAGGACACACTCTTGCATCTGACCTCGGTGATCTCTTTCTGCAACCATCACTAGATTTCTCTGTACCAACTCCATCATGTAACCCTCTGCAATATCCTCTAAGCACTCTCTTCCTGCAGTTTCCTGCACGAATCCTTCTGCAATCCATAGCCGTGAAATCTGGTGAACAGGTATTGATTTGTCCTCTTCAAACGCTCCCAGATAAAGAAAGCATGGTTTCAAATGGTTTGGCAAATGTCGATAACTCAACTCAAGAGTCTCCTTGCACTGATCTGCAGCCATTGCAGTACCTGTTTTTAGCATTTCTTCAACTTCTTCCCACTTACTTGGCTCTGTATTAGCGAGAAATCCTGCAACAATTAAAATCATCAGCGGCAATCCCTTGCAGGATTTTGCTATTGTCTTGGCACGAGCAATTACTTCTTCCGATGGACAGCTTTGGTCAAAGCACATCTTCTTCCGAAATAACTCCCAACTCTCATCATCATTTAGTGCACGAAGACGGTGAGGTTCAGAGTGTGGATTGATTTCCAAACGAATAGTCTCCTGTCGAGTGGTTAGGAGAATTCTGTTACCCTTATCATCGTCTGGGAATGACATTTTCAAACTATTACATACTTGAGTATCCCAAATATCATCCAAGATGATAAGATACCTGATTCCCTTCAACCGTTTACGGAGTCTTTCAGCCAAATCATCTTCCCTCATATTTATATACTCTCCAGTTAAATTTTGGTCCAGACCGCTTAAAATCCCAATCAACAAACCTTTTGTGTTGTATTCTTGAGACACGGTGACCCAAGAGCGAGCCTGGAAGTGATGAGAGATGTGGGAATGATGATAAACTTTCTTGGCCAAACTAGTTTTACCTAATCCGGCCATGCCCACAATCGAGACCACATCTAACTTTTTTGTCCCTCTAGTGAGTCTATTGATGATGATTTTTGCCTCGTCATCCAAGCCCACCACTCTGTCATTGGAATCTGGGATCTTACCAACTGCTGGTGACATCTTAAGGTTAGCTTGACTAATCTTTTGAACTGCAATGGTTGGCTCCATACTCCAAGGAATCTCCGAGACCTGAGTCTTAATAAGCTCAATCTCTGTTATGATAACATCAAGCAGCACAATAAGGCTCGTCTGGAGTGGTTTACCAGCAACAACCAAAGAATCAAGTACAAACTCCGTGTCATAAGCTACCGCTGCAACGCGACTCGAGAGATCTTGGATCGCCATCCCATTATCATGGACTACAAAAGATCTTAAAACCGTAAGATCATCGTGGAGGGCTCGGAACTTATCCTTTTCTGAAGAAACTTGAATCACGAATGACTTTATTTTTTCCAAGACAGAGTCAATAAAACCCAACAAGTTTGTTTGGGGATATGCTGATGTTGGTGGAAACCTTGGCGCGTCTTCTTCTGCAGCCTTGAGAATTTGGAGTTTTGTCTCGAAATTGGAAAAAAGGAGCTCTAATTTTGCAATCAACCTTCCTCTTTGTTCTCCATTTTCTTGATAGAGATGAAAAATTAGGATGCCTGCCTCACAAATCAAAGGTCTAATGAGGTCATCAAGCTTGTCATGGTGCTCTGATAGAGTGGTTCTCAAGAATGAGAGTCCCTCATGCACTTTATGCATTTCGTGGTGAAACATGTCCACAAAAATGCAATCACGGAAGAAAAGGTTCAAAATCAGAAAAATGAGAGAATCCACAAAGTCTCTAAACACCAAAGCATGAGTTTCTTTAGTGGGATGGAAGGAGGACCCTGAAAACTTTGAAACATCTTGCAAGACATCAACATAAATCTCACAAACACGCGACTCAACTGGCTCAATTATTCTCAGAAGTTTACGACGAGAATTTACTGAAAGATAACCACGTAGAACGCAAACATCAAAAAGTAGGACTGCAGATTGAATAAATACCCGTTCAAAGTGAGTCAAGAGATCTCCGATGATTTGCCTATCCTCAAGTCCGTGAAGCGTAGCAAAGCGAATGAAGTTCTTCGTGAACGTTACGGTTTCATTTGCGCAGGCACTGCGAGATTCAACATTCTGCAAAGTGTGAAGAATGAAATCGACGCTGTCCAGCAGTTGCTTCACATCTGTTCGAGAAGAAGATCTTGTTTGCAATGTGAGATCTGTCCCCAACATTCCTTCCAATTCCTCAATTCTTGGTATCAGTGAGCGAATAATTCTCCCAAGAAAATTTTGAAGCACATCATCAGAATCATCCCATCTCTCATCAGAATCATCAACCCTCAGCAATTTCTCCTTCAACGTGAGACAAAGAAACAGAATTTCCAGGGAATGTCTGTGAAGAGTGTCCTCCACTGTACACACTGCAGTTTCCCAGCGCACATCTTGTTCATCGCCCCACTTTCTTCCCAACAAATAAAACCATCTCCCCAATTCCAACAACTGCCGCAGATAATTAAGTCCGCTATCTGGGAATAAACCAGATAATTTTTGGCTGATGGAGTGGAGCTCATCTAAGGCATCTTGAACAATAGACTCTCTGGAATACATCTCTGTAACTCCCAAAAAGTTAAATTAGACTTTGCATTTTTAATAATTTTGAGACGACAATACTCTTTTAAACTCATATATGGGAGCTTGTAAAAATACTAGCTGGAGTTATATGTTATTGATTCAACAACAACAACAATAATATAATTGTTTTACAGAGATTGATATGCATTTCTTCTTCTTTTTTTTGGTTCCCAATCGTGTAAATATTGCTAAAGCTCCATCAAACCTACGAACAGTAATCCTGTAGAACCGCCTGAGCTAAGAAAAACAAAAGATTCGTACCTTTGTTGATAGACTTTTAAGTGATTGTGATTGACCAAATCGCTAATCTTCTCCTTTTCGGCCTTCTAGTTTCCAACGGAAACTTGATCGGCCCCAAGATCTAAATAACTTCGCACAAGTCAACGCAGACTCTTGATCCAATTAATTAAGAAAGTTTTTTCGGAAAAACAAAAACAAGGAATTCTTGGTGGTAGAGAGGGACTTGAGAGAAGAAACAATATCAAAAGATAACAAGGAAGTACTGAAACTTAAGACTTCAGATCAAAACAGAGAGTTGAGAGATGAGGAAATGAAAATCTCAGAAGAGAAATGAAGTTGAGAGCAAGAAGACTAATTAAGCATTATCTTTCATCAAGACAGAACCTTAATTAAAATTACAATACTTTTTTGCCATTAGCTTTGTACTAGTGCTATTATTTATTTATTTTTAAAATTACAATACTAGTGCCATTAAGCAGACTTGTCCAAAAGTAGTTGCCTGGAAGGAAACGGGGATTAAGCTTTACACGAAATTGATATAATAATGCAACTAATAATAAAGTAATAATACAATAATTACATCTTAAAAAATTCAACAAAGCGCAAAAGAATCTTTCCCTTAGCAGTAGTGAGATCTCAACTCAAAACTCGAGCCAATTTGCAGTGCTGCTTCTAATTTTTTTTTTTCTTTTTTGGATATCACAAACTCCAAAGAACTCTTTTACTTCAATTTTATTTATTTATTTGTTTAGTTATTAGTATTTTATTTTATTTTTCGGTGCAAACATTAACTCAAGACTCAAGGTTGTTGTTTTCGTGTTTGCAAAACTCATCATTGGTCCTAAGATGAGAAAAACTCGCCTTGCGAGCATCTATACAACAGCTTACCTGTCATTGCATATGTTTGGAAGAAATGAGTAGGCAAAGTATCCTGACATGGCAATGCTCGTGACAGTTTAATGACTACAGGATGCGCAGTATCTTCATTGGAATAGTGCACATCTTTATCTTCGGATGCGATGCTCTGCTAGTGGAAAGGATCATTGAAATATTGTATGAGGATGAAGTGGTGGACGGTGGCGGTGGTGTCGACGGTGGAGTGTGAGGAAGAGGAAGACGAAAGGGCGAGCCGTCGGTGGTGGTTTGGGCTTTGGAGGAAAAACTCTAAATAAATAAATAAATGAAATATTAGCGGGTCTCATTATTGATGAAATATTAATAAAATATTAATAATTGACGAATTTTCTAATTCACCATTAAAGTTAATGAACTTTTCCGTCAAATATACATAGCTGTTGAATAAACTTAAACTTGAGGACTAAAATCGTTGAGAAAAATTTTATGGTGACCGACCTGAGTTACCCCCAAAACTTTGGGGACCAATACTAAGTTTTGCCCAACTTTTTAAGTACATACAGCTAAATCAATCTTAAAGGGAATTGACAGAAGCAAGTAATAAAAATTGATTCTTTCTTTCGAAAATAGTTCTATACCTTATGATATATTTTAAAGGCAAAACAATCAATAAATATATATATATATATATAATTAATTTAGATCATCTTGAATGATCTCGATTATTTTCATTCCTTCAAAAATTTAATTAATTCATTCTTGGGACTTCAAGCAACAAATAAGCCACAATATTGAACATATTCATGCCGCAATAAGCAACAATTTTGGATATCTTTCACTGTGGATTATAATTCTGGGAGTTGCTAACTAACAGAGTAGAAATTTGTTATATTCTGGGCTGGAGTCATTGTATCCGCTCTCCAATCATCTGCTGTGAATCTAGGAAAATGAAAAGTTTGATTTTGTGAAAGTTGTAGCGAAAGAGACAGACAAGCAGAGGTTTGAATTAATTGGACCATTCAATGGTAACATGGAAAAAAATAATATTGTAATATTTTGCTCCGGATCCTAATTTATGTCCTGGCAGAATCACTGGACAAAATTTATATAGATGTTTGGGAAACGTTTAGGATTATGGTATAAAAGATTCTTAGACTATTGGAAGATTCAAATTGTTAAATCAGGATAATATTAAATTGCTTTTCATTTTCTAATAGAACATTATGAATGGAACATTATGCTTTTTGGATTAAAGAATGCACATTCATTTGGGTTAGGATAACTTTTTGGGTTTTCCCTTTAGTTTCAATCTCTTAAACTTTCTTTAAACCTGCTGGCCTAATGGGAAATGGAAGTTGTAACACCCAAGCAAAGAATGCAACAGCAAATTCACTAGTTTATCTTTCTATTTCTTTTGGGACAAAACGTATATGTGGAAGTCCCAGTATCAATTTGTAATGTAATGTCCAAATGCGACGAAAGATGAAATCAAAGAGAAGAGGCAGCTTTGAAACCTTGTTATCTATGTCAAGGTTGTTACTTCGTTTGGAATTAGAATTCAGTTTTTCACTAGGAGAAAAATTAAGCTAAATTAGCAACTAGCTCTTTTTATCTTAGCATCTCATTGAGTACGTACTTGAATAATGGTTATGCAGCCCTTCATCGAACTCGGATTCCCATCAGAGTGAAAAGTCAAAGGCACAACCCCGAAGTATGATTTTAACCTTTTTTTTACTCCCTTGAGTACTTACTATCAGACATTTTGACTTTTCATAGGTTTCACTTAGTACGTATTTTTTATCTATAATTTAAGAAAACACAACAAATATGAAAATATATTTTTAAGATTTTTTGGTCAATAAAAATGCGTACCAGTTGAAACTTAGGACAAATCAAAATACATTATATTAAAGATCGGAGGGAGTATTTCTGTTTATTGTTTATATATATATATATATATATATATGTAGCGAGACAGTTTCTCTGTCCCGAAATTATTATCTACTTTGGATTTTTATTTTACTAAAATTGACATATTAAATTGGACAATAATTTTGTGACGGAAAAAATAAGTATTAAATATGTAAATAGTATTGTTAGAGATTTCGAGTCCCTTATACATAATAGTGTTGTGCCGGAGAGAATGTTTTGGAGTTTGTAGTTTATTAATTGGTAATTTGCTCTAATGACAGATGAACTAACATAATCCACAATGTGTCATTTAACCAATATTACCAAAACACGAATCAAGGGGTTCTGAGATACCAAAGGCAACGTCAAAAGGACATTCAAAGTTCAGTGCTGTTGGCACTTCAATGAAGAGTTTTTGAATTAAAAAATGGTTCAAAAAAGGAGTAGAGATAAATATAGGTCGAATTTTGGGGAAGAGCAAAATACCGATATCGGATTCCTAAAATCCGATTTTTCAGTTAAATCGGATTCTCAAAATCCGACCTTTCCTTAATACGAAAAATTAATGAAATTAATCAAGATTAAGAGAAAATCGGATTTTGAAAATCCGACCCTATCATATTAAAATAATATATTTTCAGAAAAACACTTAGTTTTTTTTTTGAAATAAAATTTTGACCAAAGTCGGATTTTTAAAATCCGATTTTAGTGTAAGGTCGGGTTTCAAAAATCCGGGTAAGTTTAAATCGAATTTTGAGAATCCGTGTAAGTTAAGTTCGGATTCTCAAAATCCGATTTCTTCGTAAAACAAGTAGAATGTCGGATTTCTCAAATCCGACCTTGGACAGACACTTTGAAAAAAATAAAGGATTGGTTTCTAAACCAATCCCAACCTATCAAAACAGCACCAAAACCAAATTTCACGCATAAAATTACCTATAAACACATTCTAAACACATCAAAACAAACATTAACAAATTCAAATCCCAAATCATCCAAATTACAACATTTATACATGAAAGAGTTATAAATAAAAGAGTCCTACAATTGAATTACTTTGACGACCTTTTCTTCCTTATAGCCCCGTCGCCGGGAGTATACTTCTTGGCCGGTTTACTAATCCTATCACTCTTGCGAACCTCGACCGTTTTCTTTTTCTTTTGGGAAGAAACACGAGGTGGAGAGAACTCTTCTTCTTCTTCTTCTTCTTCTTCGCCCCTAATGTAGTAATCCTCATCGCTTTCATTGCCTTTATCATTTTCATCATCTTCTTGCATCGGAGTTGGATTGGGATGAACTATGATTGTTCGATCTGAAATTCCCGGTCGCTTCCTCCTTCCTCCTTCAGTAGGCTTCGATGTTGTTTTCTGCGTGAGCACCACATTTTGACTTGACTTTGGGGGTCTTTTCTGAAGGACTTGAGTATCGGACTGAGTGCTCATATCACGTGGGCCCAAAGTCAGGGCACTGAAACTCTTGTCGAAGATTTGGAAGAGTTTATCTTCTAGACTACCACCGAGGCTTGGATTTTCCCGTAAGGCTGCATCAACGAGATGATATATGTCACTGAGATTTGAAGACTGCAGAAAATTGAACCATGTTAATAAAGTATAAGATATAGCAAGAATTAAAATATAAAAAAAATTTAAAATAAAATATCGACATATATCTTACATAAAATCTCTCCAGAGATGAAGACGAGTGATAACCCTGTGCAAGAGGGCCGTATTGAGTGGGATCAGTCATAAATCTGATAGTCTTCTTTTGAAACCACGCATGTAGTCCGATGTGCATTGAGGACCTAGTTCCGGATCAACCAATTCATGAGGGACCACGTACTGATCTCTCACATTCCAATGAGGTCGTACCTCAGTGTGTTTTTGCACCCAATCATCATAGCTCTCAAAAATGTTCGTTGTCTGGTTACCCCAACGATAGTGTTTGTCTTTGGCAAGAGTCCACTGACAAGCATCAATCTCCTCGAGATACAAATAAGCATCATTGCTAAAATCACGTAGCTCATTCCTTAGTTCTTTGAAGTTAGACTTAGAAAGTTTCGTGCCCATCTCCCAACACAACTTTTTGATCTTTTTACTTCGAAATTGCGCCACCAAGTTACTACGGACGTGACGAAGGCAAAACCGGTGGTATGCATTCCATTCGGGCATTAGGCGTATTGCACTGATGATACCCTTGTGCCGATCGGATATGACACACACAGGCCGGTCGGATATAACCTGATTCCTCAAATGCTTCAAGAAGAATGACCAACTTTCCTCACTCTCTTCATCCACGATCGCATATGCAATTGGCAGGAAGCGCTTATTCGCAGTTTTGACCATTGCAGCAAGTAATTTACCTTTATATCCGCCGCGGAAGTGCGTCCCGTCGATACTAATCACCGGAGGACATTTAGCAAAACAATCAATTGCAGGCTTGAATGCCCAAAAAACGTATTTGAACGTCCTCTCTATATCGGTCCAACCCGGTTGCCATTCCCACTCTACAACTGTGCCGGGGTTGCTCTTCTCTAGGGCGGCGAAAAACCTAAATTAAAATTAAAAAATTAATCCTTATTTTATTCCTAAATTACAAACAAATCAAAAAAATTAGATAGGACTTAAGTAAATACCTTGGAAGTATGTCAAAATTGGAAACCAGTCGCCGTAAACAAGATCGATAGCTTTTCTCCTTCCCTCCCATGCCCTGTGGTAAGGAACATCGACATGCATACGGTCTTTCACTTCTTCCTGAACGAGCTTCACTTCATAATCTGGGTCCAACTCAACCCTATGCCTTATGAGATGCGCAATAAGCGTTGCGCTCACATTCCGATTATTATTTTTCTCGGTGACATTCATACAATTGTGCTCGGGCACCCATTTCACAATCTCCCACAAACCGTGGTCTCTCAAGGAGGCACGTACCTTCCAACAGCAAGGAACATAACCCTTAGGGGTTGACTCTTTTAGGGATTTGCACCAAATATACCATGTTGAACCATCACTTTCCTTCACATAAAACTCTCTCTTTTGCTCTATGTTCCACGCTGCAATACCATTTTTTGTTTCTTCCTTATTCTTGAAACAAGTCCCTATCCCAATTGTTGCGGTTGTCCCGTCCCACATGGTAAGTTGAAAATCATCCTTGTCCACTTTTGTATGATCCCATGTACCCTGTGAACGATATATGTGCCTGTCCTTTGTGGCGAATTTGTCTTCGACCTCTTCATCACTCTCCTGACTTCCTTCGGATATTGATTGGTTTTCATCGCTTTGATCACTTATCGATGTGTAGTCCTCATCATCTTCACCGTGATTATATTCCATGTGATCGCCATCCTCCATAAACGGTCCACTCACATCATCATCTTTCATGTAATCGACAATCTCCACATTCGGCCTACCACTACTTGTCCCTACTTCCAAATGGGACCTAGAAGTACCCGCCACCTCCAAATCTACATACAAATCAATATATGTCGAACTTGGGAGGAAATACAACCCTTGCAACGATGCGTCGTCCTTGATTTTGGCGATACGCCTAAAACCATTGCGCATCGTATCATACAAAATCGATAGACTCAAATTCACATTCTTTCTATTCCACCCACTCTTTCACAAATCAGTCGAACCAAATCATTGTACAATAACTTATGATCAATCACGAAGGAATCGTCCGGCATGTTGTTAAAAGTATTCACAATCCCATGCTTCACTACAAATTTGCTCGACCAATAGACATTAATGAAATATGGACCGTTAAACGCCATTTATATCTGTTGATTACATGAATTACAACACATCATGAACAAATTATTAAAAAAATTAACACAAACAAGGCATTATCAAACAACTTATTATAACAATTACCACAAACAAGGCATAATCAACACTAAATTTACTGAACCCCCTACAAATTCAAAAGTTTAGGCCAAATTCAAGCATTTTACTAAATTGAACGTTCAATACCACGTATACAACAACAATCATCAACTACACCCAACATCAACCCTAAAACCTTATAAATCATCCTAGCTCTACACTTTTACAAAGAAAATAACAACAATAATTCTAAATACATCAAAACATTAACTAACCTTCTTGTGAAATGGTTTTAAGACATTCGTTGCGAAGAATCGTGAACAAAATCTTCAAATCGCCACTAAAATCACCTCCCCCTTCAAGAAATAGCCTCCTTTACCAAAAATTCCCATACGTGAACAGTGTTTTCCGTCGCCCCATTATAACACAAAAAGGTCGGATTTCTAAAATCCGATTTTATAAGTAAAATCGGATTTAGAAAATTAGAAAATCCGATTTAACACTAAGGCCGGATTTCACGAATCCGACCTTCTGCCAGCTAATAACATCCATTCAATGCCGATACCTACTGTTAGGTATGCTTAAATAAGGTCGGATTTTGTAAATCCGACCTTGTACTGTTCTTAATTTTCAAATCTCCCGCCTATATTTTTTAATAAAAATAAACAAGGTCGGATTCCTAAAATCTGACCTTTTACTGTTCATTATTTGACTTTCAATACATTTTTCTCACATATATTTTCCGGAAAAAAATTGTTATTTTATTAAATCAGATTCGTAAAATCCGAACTACTAATTTAATTAGTAAATCGGATTTTGAGAATCCGATCTCCACATTTTTCTTTACCAAAAAAAAAATATAGATCTCTCTGCTCCTTTTTTCTAGTTGATTTTTTAACCAAAGCACCCGATAAAATTGTCTAAAAATTAACCCATAAATAGGACCACCAATTACTTATTATCGGACGAGCAAGGTTGCATTCTGATTGAAAGGACCTCAATTGATTTGTTTTTCCAAAGAACTGTTTCTCGCGCAACTTTAATTGCCCGCCTGACACACCAAAGAACATAGCTCCAGTGCATCAGATGGTTGGGAATCGAATCAGAGTAAAGGTGTTTTTGGTTTAGATCTGGCGCTTGAGCCACGGGCGGCGTCGTCGGAAATCATGTTGGGCTAAACCTCAGCTTGGTAGGCTGCCGGAGTTATTGTGATATGATTCAGGAAGGAAAAATAGCGAGCATGGTTGTGCTTATTGCATTGCTGGAAAGGCTAGCAAACCAGACTTTGAAGTTGCCATAACCAAATCGATGATTCAGAGCTAGATTTGGCTAACTGATGGCCAAGGGCTGCTTATCGCTGCATTCTGATAAGTGAGTTTGACGCAACAGAAAAGAAGACAGCTCCGCTTCAGCTCCCTTATTTCCCTTCTGGCTTAGTTAATTCTATAACAAAGGAACGAGGTCAGTTTCTAAAACTTTGATGTTTGCCTGCTGTAGATTCATTTAGTTGTTTATGTGCAGTTTATTAGTTTCAAATCTTTTCAGTACTTGTAATTATGGGAAACATTTCCTCCAGATTTTGGGTTTGCTGCCCTGCGCCCTTTAGACGTAGACCCCAGATTAGTATCTCGTTTCCTATCTGACACCTTCTGTTGTTTCCTGACTGTTTAACACTCAATTCTACCCTTTTTATTCCAATGTTTTCACTGGTTGTAGCTGATCCGCTATATTGGCCTATTAAGGCATAGTTCGCCCGTACTTAAAATAAATTTGATATCGTTCTGGAAAGCCTGCACTGTCTCTTGAATTGATGGTTTCTTAGTCTCCTAAGAACCAAGGCTTGTAGCTAATTAGGAGTCATAAAATTTGCAGATATTTTGGTAAATATAGCTTCCATCTCCTTAAGAAACTATTAAAAATTATTTGAAATTCAGCTTCAAATAATCTATTTGCTGTGGGCATTTTAAGGTCTGATGTATGTCTATTCATCAAGCTGAAATGCAGCGGAAGAAAATACATATAATATGGTTGTATAAATTCGACAAGTTTAAGGGTCTTTTTTTTTTTGGTTTCGTTGATGTAGTTACGAGGATGGGTCCATGGACTGGTGGGACATAAGGAATCCCGAAGCCCCATTGACGACTGTTAAGTTTCATTCAGAACCAGGTATAGGGTCTAATTGGATATGTAATTGTTTGGTTGAAAAATCTCTTTAATTCCTTTCATGTAGTTGAATAGTGCATCTTTGCAGTTCTTAGCCTGTCTGTGTATTGGCCGTGCGGTGGTGGTATCTCTGGAGGTGATAATAAAAAAATTGTGATGCTCACTTTGGATTATGGATCGGTAAGTAAAACCTTATTAGCTTCTGTTATGCAGCATTTTAAATTGATCTACATCATTGCATTTCTTATTTTGGATAGCATGATGTGTAATGTTTCTGTGTAATGCTTTTGGCTTAAAATAAAGGAAAAGACAGAAAACGGTCATCTAGTCCAAGTGCTGGTCCAGTTCACTTTTGGTTCTAACAACATTTTTTGGTTTAATTTCTATTTACCATCTAGGATGAAGAACTCAACAATAATTCGAAAATCTGGTTTATTTTGAACGCTTATCTTCTTCACTTCCTGTTTACTATTTTAGTTTATTTTCTTTCTCAAAAGATCCCTTTAAGACATTTTTGTTGAGATGATCCCTTAGATAATATGCTTAGTTTATGGGTTCTTTTGCAATGGAAAAGGATCAAAATGTCTGTTGATATGGAAATACTGATGCATTGTGGTTTTGTAGATATTTCTTCCTGGATGCCATAGTGTTTTCCATTTTGCTTTTCCTTTAAGCCAATGTATAGGAATATACTGAGAAGTATGTTGTTGATCTAGAGGCATTTTTCAAAGATTATGCGGAGGGCCATGCCAAGCTTAGTAATCTTGGAGCTAAATTTGATCTTCCTAAGGTTTGTTTACTAATTCTCGTTACTTCAGAGATTGCTACTTAAGCTAGACCTTCCCCTTACTGATTCAACTTATATAAAGATGTCCGATTCCCACTAATATCTCTTGAATGTTGGATTCAAAGACGTGTTGCCGGCTCTGGCTTTTCCACAATTGTACTTTCTCTCCTTTTTAGGGTTTGTAAGAACTCACTAATGGCCAGTTGATTAAACATTTTGAACCGCTAAAAAGCAGATTTCTCTTACATAAACTGCCAACATATACATTTCATCTGTATCATTTGTGCTGATGCATAGTCTTCTCACATTAGTGTGCTTGAAACTTTACATTTGTTCTTTTGACAGTCATTCTGAACACTATGCAATATCAGTGACAAAATTAGGTTTGCTTGAAGTTGTTATATGAATAATTATTTGGTGTAGTGCTTATCTTATTTAAATGGAAATTCTCAACCTCCGTTTTGCTTGTTTGGGTCTGATCAAACACTTTTAATAATTGCAGGAATTACGTGCTTACCAAGCTCAGAAAAAGTAATCAGCATGCTGAACAAGGGATATTCCAACACCTCTAGAGTTGGTCTCATATTTTGTGACTTTATTTTGAACCCTGTTCTTTGGTTAATTCAGTTTTGGTCTTGAATTCTTTTTTGTTGTAATACTTAATGGTTGTTTAATGGGTGCGTGTGAGCTACTATTAAAATGGGCATTTATTTTAATCTTCCTTTTTTTTTGGGTAATAGGCATCTGTTTTAATATTCGTCAAGAAGAAATACTCAATGTATATAATAATAATAAGAAAAAAAATTAACCATCACAGTTGCCGTTACAGGAGGAATAAAAAAAATTTTCTTAATCATTTTTGAAAAATATACTTCAGAGAATGTGCTCACAAGTAGCCTCTGGGGAAACAATGCTGAGAAACCTTGCTGTGATAAATCATACGAGGAAGCTTGTGACGAGAAAAAAACATAACAATATAGTGTGGATCTACTTGAATGGCCTGTATATGAGGAAAAGGTCCAACAACATGTCATATGTGCAGTGTTGTTTCCATTTATGTGGTAGGTAAAAAGCATAAGAGCAGAGAATACTGTTAAAACAAAACACAAGCATCTTGCTTCTAATCAAACGTCATCTGCCATATTGCCTAAGAAAAAGCATTTTCACTACATCAATCAAGTCAGAAACGACGTTCCAGAACAACTGAAAATAAATTCCTAGATGCTTAACAGAGGGGAAACCCTAATAAGATTGCATATTTGATCCATCTTTCTGTTAGAAGCAGCAAAGCATCCTTCATTTTCCTTAAAACAACAGAAGAATTCCATTAGCAATGCTGTTGGGAGTAAAATCAGCTTTCTCCTAAGAGCAATAAATGTTCGTCTTGATAATCTGACAGAAAATGCGATTGAGAACCATTGTCAATTTGACTCATCTGCAAATACACCTGAATAAAAAATAAGTAATTATCATACATGATAATAAAAATCCATTCAAGAAAAATACTGCAGGAATATGATTACATAAAGACTAAACCACCGGTAAAATGTTCAAACAGCTGATAGCGTAAGTTCGTACCTGCTATATCAAATCAATGGATGCCAAACTCCCCGTATACACAAGAGGACCATCAGAAATGCACATGATAACTGGTTCTGAGTTGATCTTTCCCCTAGCATTGGCTCTTAAATTAACTTTTTCCCTAACATTGCCTCTCAAGTAGTATCGTTTAGCTTCTTCACTAGCCTCAGGCCTGAAGTTGTAATTCTTTTCTTCAATTAGGGCAGTCTTTCCCTTAATCACTTTGAAGTAGTTCTTCTTGCTTAAGTTGTGTGAATATAAACGATCTTTCCTTAAAACCAGAACAAGGTTATCAGGAATCCTGATGGGGAGTGGCATTACTAGTCCTCTAATTGTGAATAGTTAGGTCCAAGAACTCTTGACAGCATATTCTCTCATTATCCAACAATCATTATCATTATTATACACAGTAAGGGAATTCAAGTAAACATATAGATAATTTTTTTCCATTGACGAAAAAGTAAACACACAGATAATTCTTCTCAATTGACCAAAAAGTGAAGAGGAGAAATCGAGCTGAGCAACACTTCCAGTTAAACCAGATACGATGGCTCGCCTTTTATCTCTGGCGGATACGTACTCACTCTAAACAAATTCGATAATCAGAAATTTTGCAGAACGAGGTCGGAACCGCTACCAAAAAAAAAAAAAAAAAACAGGCAGTGAATCATGTTAATCGTATTTAATAAAATCAACAATAACAACCCATCTGACAGCCCAAGCCGTAAACAGTATATATTATTATGCAATTCACCTCAGAAATATCTCATCATTCTATGATCTGAACCCCGAATACATTAAAACAATAAAACATCAAAAAGCTCACAATTGAACAATCAAAATGGACATACGGATAAGCAACTACATTGATTATGTGACAGATGCAAGACCTATATCCCAAAAAGCTTTAGCATTCTACTGCTCACCACACTTCTAATTTTCATTTCCAAAAACCAAATTTTTCATGTCTTTTAACATTTCAATTCAGCTTCCTTAATTCCAAATTGATATTCCTAAAGAAAAATAAAAAACAAAAGCTAGTCCAAAATGGTTCACCTGACCAATTCAACATCCCAAAAATTTTCATTTTCGCATCTTAGCACACACAAAACCATTACAGGAAAAAAAAGAAAAAGTCAAATACAACTGGAACTCAAAACCAGATATGCACATACTACCCAAATACAATTTCCAATTGTAAACACATAAAGATCCGACAAATAAAAACCAATAAATGAAATGATGGTGAAACGAGGAACTACAACTATAAGTCAACATTTTTTTCCGGATGAAATATCAAAATTAAAAAGTCCAAGGAGGAAATTCGCAGAAAAATACCCTAAGATATTTAAGCTTCATGCTTCCGCAAAAAGGCTCTGAAAGTGAAAACAGAAGCAGCAGCCACCTGTCACCGACAGACTGAGATCGCTTTGCCCTAAATTTTTTAATACTTGAAGTCGAATGAGAGAGATTTGGTAGTTTGAAATCCAATATTAGAATTTGTGAACCCAACTACGAGCCGCATCGTCGACGGAATCGCCGAAGTCGGCTAAATCACCAAACTCTAGCTATGAATTGAATCCATTGTCCGCCTACTCAATTACGTGATCAATCCTATGATTGGGATAGGATATAGATTTAAACCCGGTATGAAAAAATCGGATTTTAATCAACAGAATGACCCAAAAACCGGAATTGGACCAATTTGTTAATAAGGTAGGAGTTCAGGACTTGTGGACTCCAGTAGTTTTATTTTAAGGAAGGAGGTCGGACAAGATATTTATGTCCTTGTACACAGTTACACAGAGTAAACCAGTGATTAAGAAATCTGGAATCTTGGGCAGTATACTAAAAACCCCGACATGGACCCTCATCACTTTGGTAATTAGGTAGGAGTCCAGGACTTGGACTTCAGTACCATTACTTTTAGTAAAGCAGGTAGGACTGCATATTTATGTTTTTTTGTTAGTTGGACTGATTTTTGTTGAGTTTTATAATTGTTTTTGTCTTTTGATTTTTTTAAAAAATTAAATTTGAAAATTCCATCTTTGGTTTTAAACAGACGTATTCCAATCTACAAAATATGTCTACAATGATACATGATTCCCTTGAAAATAACCTAACAAAAGACAAACCAAATTTAGGATGAGTAGATATTTTCTTAATTTTATTAAATAACAAATTTAAGTCTGTAAGACGATATTTAAAATTTATCTAGAAGGATGAATTGGAACTACCATTTTTTTTTCTAACATCTATTGACAATAAAGGAACAATGAAAATATAAATATTAACAGAACTATTAAATTGCCGAAGTATTGAATTGCCTAGTTTGACCAACTGAATGGCCGGAATTTGCTAAATAAATAACGGAAGTATTAAATTGTCGAAGTATAGTACGTTCAAATGAAATTTACAATCTGTAAAACATTAGGATGAAATGTAAAATATGGACTGAAAATTAAAAATCATTCTAAATGTACTTAAAATAACAATATACATTGACATTAAACATTGTTATGGTTTTTAACATGATCAACAACTTTATTGAGCAATACCAAACATTGTGTAATCCTGAACAAAAACATTGGAAACAAAATTCAAACCAAAACTGAAAAAACTCGTATAAAAAAACACAATCGGAAGATTAATTATTTGTTTTGGTTAAGAGTAAAAACAAAATTATTTAATTGCACCGACTTATCTCCTTTCATTGCTATTTTACCATGCCTTCAACGATTAAGTTTTATTTGTTTTGTTTTTTCTTAACTTTAGATAGCGAGTTTGCAATTACTATGAGGTAAAGTGACTTTAAGTTCTCTTGAATCACTCGATGAGTTTCTAATAGTATTAAATTTGCTCAATTTTAGTTTACTTTGTAAAGTTTATGTTTCTTTCACTAATAGAAATTCGTTTTGTATCGACTTAGTGTTTTATATTAGTTCTGGTTCAATATCTACAATACCTGAAATTCAGACTTTGATCATTGATCATGATCAAAATTCTCTTGTTTCAACAACGAGAATTAATGTTTGAATTGTATTCATATCAATGGATGATTTACTTTTATCTAAGTTTTATAATTGAATCAATTGACATAACTAAATAAATCACTAAAGATAAGTTAATCTTATAAAAAGAAATAAGAAAATAATGTCTGGAGTTTCTTACAGTACATTATTATCAATTTAGAACAGTACTAATTCATGTGATAAGTTAATCTAAAAAGTAAACTACAAAACAAGTCAATTGAAGTGTTTGGTTATTTCATCAAAGACCATCAATCATATTTATTCCCAAAAAAAGGTCACCGTACTTAGCCAAAAATTGATCCGAGATCATTATGTTAATTTTGATTGTTAAATAGTGACGAAAAACTATTTTTCACATGCCTTTAGGTTTATGAGTATTTTCGTCATTTTGTTATTTTTAAATTTTTTAAATTTTCTATTTTTTATTATTTATTTATTTATTTATTTATTGCAACTCTTTTCTTATACTTCTTAACTTCTATATGTTGGTAATTTAATTACTAAATTTCAAAAATTAATTTAACTTCTGCATTTTACTTTCTAGATTATAAAATTTTTATAAAAAACTAAACAAATGATGAAGAAAAATTCGAGTTGAAGTAAACATGAAAATTAATAGTTCACCAATTTTAACAAAAAAAATAAAAAATAAAAAATAACAGAGACGAAACAACGTGTCTTAGCTGAAAGCTATTTGGACGTTAGATCGTGACGGAAAACTATTTTCACATGCTTTTGGATACATGGGTAATTGCATCATTTTTTATTTTTTAAAAAAATATTTAATTTTTTTTAATTTTATTTTTTACAATTCTTCTTCTTTTACTTCCTTTCTTGTGTATGTTGGTACTATAATAATTATTAAATTTCAAAAATTAATTTTTTATTTTTATCTTAACTTCTGATTATAAAAAAATGAAGAAAAAATAAAGAAGAAATTCAAATTGATATAAACGTGAAAATTTATAATTAAATCAAGTTGAAATTAAGTAATTATAATATAGAAGTTAAAATATAAAAGTTCAATTAAGTTTTGAAATTTAGTAATTATAGTACCAATATATATAAGTTAGGAAGTATAAGAAGAAGAATTGCAAAAAAAAAAAAAAACAATATTTTTTTTAAAAAAAT